ATACCATCTCACTCCAGTTAGGATGGCTAATATCCAAGACTGATAATAAGTGCTGGAGTGGTTGTGGAGAAAAAGGAACTCTCATACACTGTTCGTGGAGCTGCAAAATGGTGCAGCCTTTATGGAAAATGGTATGGAGGTTCCTCATACAATTATATATAGATATATGTGCTTTATATTTTCAAAAACATTCATCTATTTGGAAGCATAGTCTTGAGGTGCAACTGACATGAAACAAATTGCATATGTTTAAAGTGTATAATTCAATAATTTTTGACATATTACATACCCATAAACCATCAGCACAATTAAGATCATAAATATAGCCATTATCCCAAAAAGTGTCCTTGTTTGCAATCTCTCCCTCCTGTCCCTTCCTACTTTCATGCCTCCCACCTCAGACAACCACTATTCTGCTTTCTGTCACTGCAGATTAACATCTACCTTTTAGAATCTGATACAAATGGAATCAAACAATATGTACTCCTTTTTGTCTGACTTCTTTTACTCAGTGTAATGATTTTGAGATTAATCAATGTTGCTCCATGTTGCAACCATTTTTCACTTTTTTATTGGTGTATAATTCTTCCACAATTCATTTATCCATTAATTGCTTGATGGACATTTGGGTTGTGTTTAGTTTATGACTACGCTATGGTTTGGATGTGGTTTGTCTTCTCCAAAAGTCATGTTGAAGTTTAATTGCCAGTGCAGCAGTGTTGGCAGGCAGGGCTTAGTGGAAGGTGTTTGGGTCATGGGGGCCCATCTCTAATGAGTAGATTAATGCTTTCCCATGTGAGTGAGTGAGATCCTACTCTCCCAGGAATGGATTAGTTCCAAAGAGAGTGGGTTATTAAAGAGTCTGATTTCCTCAGTTTCTTTCTCTTGCTTCTTCTCTCCCATTGTGATCTCTTTCTACATGCCCTCTTTCCTTCTGATTTCCACTATGAGTCAAGGAAGCACCAGGCCCTCACCAGATGCAGCTACCAAGTTTTGAACTTTCCAGCCAGCAGAACTATGAGCCAAATAATCCTCTTTCCTTTATAAACTTACCAGCTTCAAGTATTCCTTTATAGCAACAATAAAAGGTCTAAGACAGACTATTACAAATAAACAACTATGAATATTTGAGTAGAAGTCTTTGAATGAACATAAACTTTTGTTTCTCTAGGGTAAATGCCTAGGAGTAGAATGTCTAGCTCATATGGTTTGTGTATGTTTAACATTTTAAGATATTGCCAAACTTTTTCTAAATTGGTAGTATCGTTTTACTTTCCCATCAGTGTGTAAGAGTTATAGTTGCTCCACATTCTTACCAACACTTGGTATTGTCATTCCTTTTTTAACTTTAGCCAAATTAATATATTTATTTTTTTAATTCTCTTATCACTAAGTGTCTTTTGAAGAGTGTAAGCTTTCAATTTTGATGAAATTCAATTATAATTTTTTCTTTTATGAATCATGCTATTGGTTTTCTATCTAGAAAATGTTTGCCTAATCCAAGCTTATGAAAATTTTCTCCTGTGTTTTTTCCTCCCAGTTTTATAGGCTCAGGTTTTATATTTAGGTCTATAATCCATTTTGAGTTAGTTTTTTTTTTAATATGGTGCAAGGTATAAATTGTAGTTCATATTTCTTTTTTCTGAGAATGGATATCCATAATATTGAAAAGACAATTTGTGAAAAAAATTAATCTATTTTTCCTTCGAGAAAATGCCTTTGTACCTTTGTTGAAAATCAAATGAATGTTAGTTTATTTCTCTCTATTCTGTTCCATTGATTTATTTGTCTACCTTGATGTCAGTACCACATTGTGTTGATTACTATAATTTTATAAGTCTTCAAATCAGACATTTAAATTTTTCCAACTTTGTTTTTCCTTTTCAAAAGTGGTATTTTCTATTTTAGTTTCTTTTTTATGTGGATTTTAGAAACAGCTTTTCAATTTCTTTAGAATAGTTTTTCTGTGCTTTTAACTGGCATTACATGACTCTATTTTAACAATATTGAGCTTTCTTATTCATGAACATGGTATATATTACCATTTATTCATGTCACTTCAGTTTTCTGATAGAAGTTAGGGGTAGCTTAATCACTAACTTCTTTTTCCCTCTGGCCTCTAAGCAATTAAAAATAAAATCTTGTTTTAAATGGGGATGGAACATTCATTAGGTTGAGCTGGGTATGTCCCCAAATGCTCTAATATACAGTTGTATTTAATAAAGTGGTTTGGACATAAGAAAAATGATACTTTTCAATTTCACCCCTAAATCCATAAGGATACTTAGGTCTACAAAGAAGGCTCTAGATGTTCTCTTCCAGACACATAGATGATTGTGATTAGCCTCAGAAACTCAATTCTTCCTCATTATTCTTTTTTTGTCTTCCAATACAGTATGCCCAGCCTCTGAGAAATGTGTCCTAATAAGTGTCAATGTCTTACACATTTTACCAGTCAGATGAATCACTTCCTCCTTTATAGAGATGAATGAAAGAGAAGGTAAAGAAAGAACCCAAAGGAATCTGATATTATCTTCTCTCCTGGGGAGTGGAAGTGGAATCCCCTACTCTACAGAGCAACTGGGGTTGTCTTTCACACCTGGGCTTGGCCAAGACTCTCTGTAAAATGTGTAAGACACTTGCACTGAATTTGTAGTGGAGAAATGTAGAGGAGTAGGAAAGAAGATGAAGATAGGGATAGTGGAGAGAGAATCTTTGTAGTTATTGAGATATAGGTATAAGTTCATTAAATAGTTTTTAAATGCTGAGAATATTTATTCTCTGGCTTAATGGAAGTTTTTTTTTTGTTTGTTTTTTTTTTCTTTTTTTGTTTGTTTGTTTCTGGGCTAAAGAAAACACCTCAATAAAGAGTGAAGACAAATACACTTCAATTTGAAGGTTCCTACATTTTTTACTGTTATTTTCTGTATTAAAATGGAGGATTTCTCAGAAAACTTATAGTTAAGCCTAGAAATTACTCAAGAAAGTATTGTTCTTTCTTCCAGAAAACGCTAGTACGGAATCTAAATGTTGGGGGACTGTTCTGTTCATTGCTGTACTCCAAGTAGTAAGAACAGAATTAGATTCTTCCATTAGAAATACTTTTGATTACTCCTAATTCCCAGTGATCTTTCCCTTCTTACACTTTTAAGGTATTTAGATTTTAAACTGCATAATCTATCATTACATTTTCATCCTGCCTTTGATTGACCTCTAGCTATGTCATGCGTGTACTTCTGCTCTCCCTCAGTACAAAATAACCTCTCCAAAGTGATGCTTTTTCTTTTACAGAGCAAGTAGGGAGGTGGTGTGAAGGCTCCTGACTTTGGACTAACCAGTCTCTATACTGTCAATTAGTAGCTGTGGGACTTTGAGCAAATAACTTCTTTGGGTGTGTTTTATCACCTGTGAAACAGAATTAATAATGATATTTATCTCATAGGGATGTTATGATGATGAAATGAGATAATTCATGTAAAGGATTTGGCAATGCCTGGCACATAGCAAGAAGTCAATATATATGTGTGTGTATTTTACAAATACTCTCATATGAGTTAATTTTTTATTGAAAGCACTTAGTAGCAAGGAATAGATTTAATATTCTTTGGTAGTGATGAAGGAGAGTGTACAGGCTGAAAAGACAGAAATAAAGTATTCATTTTACTGGCATTGGCTCTTAAAGCGAAACATAGAGAAATATATGGTCTATAAGCTTTTTGAAAGCAAGGATTATGCATTTTAGTTACCAAACCCCAGCATCTTGCTACAGTGTTTGACACATATTAGACATTCACTTAATGTTCGCAGAATTAATTAATAAATGATTGGGCCATGGTACAAAAATCCAGACACCCTGCTTCTGCTTCCAGAGGAGAGCGCTCTCCTGCTGGCAGCAAATCCCTGCAACAGGTACAGAAGGCAGGCCACTGTCCACGGTTATGAATTCTCACTGGATGGAATGTGTTCATCTTTGTAAACAAACTTCTTTCTTTTCTCCCTCTCCCCCCCGCCAACCAAAAAAACCAACTCAATGCAGACTACTTCCTATTTTCCAGGCACAGAGACAAAAAACACCCCGCCCTATATGCTTCCCAAGTGGGTTAATTCTCACTATCTCTAATGTGTTGAAGTTTCCTTGTCTCTCCTGTTGAACCTCAAAACCCTCTACATAAGAACCCTGGATTGATTTAATCTGGGCCTATATTTTTAATGATTGTCCACCTGGAGTTCTTGGCGGTCATCAGAGAACATATCCCTCAGCCACACCTCCTGCTTAAAGTAGGCAAGTCTGCTACCAGTTCCTTTCTGGAATCCCTGGAGGCAACGGGACTACGCAGCTCTGGCTCCCGCATTCAGACCAGCCCAGAGAGCTCAAAGAGCCCACTCTGTCCCCTTTCTCGTCCCTCCCTCCTCTCCCCGCCACTCAGCAAAAAGACCCGCCAGGCTCCTTGACAGTTGGATTCCGTTCAAGAATTCTAGGAGCACTGTAGTCCAACTCCTTTGGCTCCCACCCCGCACCCCCAGATGCCACACCGCCTGCGTGCCAGGGTCGCTCCCGGAAGGCTCACTAGATTGACTCCGTGCGCACGAAGGGCACCCTTTCCTTCGCCCCCTTCCTCTCCACTTAGCAATCCTTTATTTGGTTACTAGACCGGAGGCTCACGCTGAACTGGCTTCTAAACATAAAAAATTAAAAAGTGCAAATAAAATGAATTTTTTCCCCGTGGGTTAGGTTGTGTTTGTGTTTATGTGTGTCCATCCGCGCTTTTGCAAAATCCCCCAGCGTCACAGTTCGCAATCGGGACAAGCGCGTCGATAAATCCGAGATCTTTCCAGGGGAATCCTCTACCCTGGCCGCCTCTTCTTCTGCACCCCCGGAGAGGTAGGTCTCGGGCATTTACAGCGATAGAAACACACAAATCTGCTGCGATTTTTTTCTTTCTCCGTTCGCTTCCAGCCTTCTTAGGCGAACAGTCCCGAGCGAGCTCAGGATCTCCTTGCAATTCCCCGTCGCCCACACTGCAGCCAGGTGCAAGTCCCTTCCTGGCTTCAGACAGCCCGCCTCCCGTTGCGACCGCAGACCCGCTGGCTCCGGGCCTCGGCCTGGGTGGTGGGTGGTGCTCGCGCCGCCCCCACCTTCCCCTGGGGCCGTGGAGAGCTGCGCGCTGGGCATGTGTGCGCGCGCGCGCGGGTTTGGTGGGGAAGTCTCCTTCAGTGGAAGCTGCTGAGTCTCGCTGGCGGAGAGTATCTTGGATCCCAGCAAAAGCCTCCAGATTTCTAGAGCTCCCCTAAAGAAAATACCGAATAAAAGAAAGACAAGAAGGGAAACCCGTCCCCCTAAAGCTTGGGTTTCCCGTAGTCTCGGATCCTCTCTGAGCTGGGTAGGGGCGCAGTGGCCGCTGTTCGCACCCGGACTTGGAAATCCCATTTTGCCCCCTTTCGGGAGAAGGAAGGTGAGGGACTTGCAGGCAAGAGTTGCACCTGATCTAGGATCTATCTGCAGGCAAGAGAACTCTGGGGTAAGTAGTGTTCTGGCACAGTAGCGGAAGGGGGCGGGGGGGGGACAGGAGGGGGACAAAATGGAGAGGGCAGGGAATGAATTATGCAAAAAAAATCGCCAATATTCCGCAGCGGAGGGAGAGCACAGCAGAGCACTCCCAGGATGAGTCCCGCCCGGGTCTTCCGCGCCCAACCCGCAGGCGCGAAGTTCTTTTTAAGAAAAACTCGAAAATCCTGGAGAGTAACAGAGGCAGCCGGGAGGGGCGGGGCGCGGGGCCGGCCTCTGGGGGCTGGGGCCCAGGTGGCGACCGCGGTGGCCTGAAGCCTGATGCCCAGCCCGTTCCTCCTTATGGCCGCGCTAAGCCTCACCTCCCCACCCTGGCCGCCTGCCTTCGCCCCCGGGTGCCGGGCGGCCCGGCTGACTTTGGGACTCACGGGGGCTGCGAGGACGCTCACCTGGCCGGGCCTCCTCCTCCCCCTCCTC